TGTGTGAATGAGAGTGTATGGGTGTTTCCCAGTGATGGGCTGCAGCAGGAAGGGCATCCTCTGTGTAAAACATATGCTAGATAAGTTGGCAGTTCATTCCACTGTGGTGACACCATATTAATAAAGGGACTAAGCCGAAAAGAGAATGAATGAATGAATGAATGAGAGTTTGGGGAGCTTTCATAACATGTATTCTTAGCCACGCCCCTCTTACCATTTGTTTGCTATGAGGCAATGATTCGCAAAATCAAAGCTCCGCCCCCTACTTAATCTTCAGCTTCAGTTGAAAGTTCATCAACATACTGGAATAAAAGTCTCTGCAACTTTTATGCAAATTTTAATGATAAATATTAATAATGCAAATAATGAGATAAATAATGAGGGCATCACTGTGGCTCAGCAGGAAGATCGCTGGTTCGAGTCCCGGCTGGGTCAGTCAAAATGCTGAGATTGCATCGCTCAGAGATGCAATGTCAGACACAATGCACTCAACGGAGCTAGTGGCATCACTGTCAGGGGTGGAGTTAGGGGTGGGGTTAGGTGAGCACATTGAAAAGCACTGGATGCAGCTCAGATTGTATCTACACCGAGTTCGCAGCCAGAACCCTCTTGGCTCAGTTGGTGGAATAGTTGGCGGTTCATTTCGCTGTGGTGACCCCTGATAAATAAGCCGAAGGAAAATTAATGGATAAAATATTAATTTGACCACTGTCAATGCAGCAGTGACCCTACTAGTGACCCTACATGTGTGTGTGTGTGTCAGCTGCAGGTCAATGTGTCTCTGCTCTTCTGCTGTTTCCTGCAGCCTCAGGCATCTCTCTCCCTCTCTCTCTCTCTCTCTCTCCCTCTTTTCTGTCTTTGATCTGTGTTTAATGAGTGTTTTTATCTTCTCTCTCTCCGTCTGAACTCTTCCTGCCTCCAGAAGCTGATCACACACGATTAATCATGATTGGCTGCAGGTTTAATGGCCTGTGATTTCCGCATTTCTCTCTTTATTTGGATAAAGCGTCTGCTGATTGAACTGATCCGCATGTAAATCAATGTTTTTAGGTAGTTCATAGTAATTTGTTGAGGATTTCTTTAGCTGAGGAATTTGCTTCATAGAGATCAGAAAAAAATATTGCATAACATTATTAATATTTAAAGCAGCAGTATTTTCTGAATATAGACGGTTCTTCAGAAATCAGTATATATGATCAATTGATTTATCATTATCAGTTATGAAAACTATGACATTTATTTATTTATTTTTAACACTGATACACAACAAATCTGTGTGTTTTAACCCAACGTTGGGTAAAATATAAACAAATTTTTAATAGACCACTTTTATTAATTCAATTTAAATGGCTTGAGTGTTGAGTTTCTCCTGATTTGACCCAGTTTTTCTCATTCATTTTCCTTCGGCTTAGTCCGTTTATTCCTCAGAGGTTGCCACAGCAGAATGAACTGCCAACTATTCCAGGATATGTTTTCAGCTGAATCCCTTCCAGCCGCAACCCAGTCCTGGGAAACACCCATTCACACACACACACACACACACACACACACTCAAAAACTACGGCCAGTTTAGTTGATCAGTTCCCCTATAGCGCATGTGTTTGGACTGTGGGGGAAACCGGAGCACCCAGAGAGCCAACATGGGGAGAACATGCAAACTCCACACAGAAACACCAACTGACCCAGCCAGGACTAGAAGGAATGACCTTCTTGCTGTGAGGCCATAGTGCTAACCACTGAGCCATCTTGTGGCCCTATTTGACCCAGTGTTGTGTTAAAATAACCCAGTAATTTGTACATTGTTCACTTAATTTTTCAGGATTTAAAAAATGTTTATAAAACAAGATTTATTCATTTTTTGTAATACTATAATTGTATTTTTTATTAAATTAATGCATTATTGCTGATTAAATGTAAGAGTTAATTTGTACAATTAATAAATAATAAAAATAATATATATACAGTGCTCTATATAAATGAGTTGACCTCTGACAGATCTTTCTTTTACAGTAATAATCTCTTCAGAATGATTTACAGTAATGTATTTGTGCAAATGCATTAGATTAGTCAGTATCAAAGAATATGCATTTTCAAAAGGGGGTGTGCTCATATTTATATCATTTATATATATATATATATATATATATATATATATTATAAGCAGCAGTTTAATATATGTAATATGTTCTCACCTGTACTGTGCAGAGCAGCAGGGTTATCCAAAAGAGTCTCATCGCGACAGTGTTCAGGATACAGCAGATGTGTGTGTGTGTGTGAGCCCAGCTCTTTATATCACCTCTTTAAACTGATTGGGGACATTGCAATATGCAAAATGACCCTTGAGTAGCTCCCACATGAAAAAAAATCGTAAAGCACACCAAAATAGTGTATATTACTGTATATATATTATCGTATTTACAACTGTATGTTCTGCTCCAGCATATTAATGTTGCATTAATTATAGTGACCTGATAAACGAATAAACATTGTAATATACTTAAGTTTCACTACAGTAACATGTTGTGTATTGCAGTATAATATACATTATAGTTGTAGAAAACTACAGTGCTCATTTGTTTACATTACTGTAGTTGTTTTGTTTCCATAGCAACTGTAGAATCACCACAACAGATCAATTACTATAGTTGTTGTGTTACCATGGCAACTGTAGAATCACCACAACAGATTGATTATTATCATTGTTGTGTTTTCATAGAAACTGTAGAATCACCACAACAGATCAATTACTATAGTATGTGGCGGCCCCTGATGAATAAAGGGTCAAAGTCATAAATAAAATAAATGAATGAATGTTTATTTCATGTAAAGGTAATGAACATTATGAACACATGGAAACGTCTTACAGAATTTTACATACAAAACTTCTTTAAATGCAAGTAATTTGAAATGCCTTAAGAAAATAATCAGAATGAGAGAAAATATGGATGAAATAATGAGCATTAAGTTCATGTCAGAATGACACTTATTTAAAACTGTGCTTATTACAATATATAAAAGAATAAGTGATCATGCTTGATATTTGGAGCTTAATTTAAAAAAAAAACTTTACAAAACTTGTATTTATTGAAAAAGCATTCATGATAAGAATAAAAGTAAAGCATCAGTGATCATTAAAATGTGTTTCTGTTTTAAAAGATACAAATATTTGTATTACTAAATGTGTAAAATCCAATGTTTTGAAGGATAATGGTGAAAAATAAAGAATTCAGATGAACATTAATGAGGTTTTGGTCAACTTGTGATCCTTCAAAAGAGTTTTAAAATGAGAAAGTATTATATATAATATGATAAATCAAATATTATATATAAATAATATAGTAGAAAAAGCTTAGAGAAAATATCTGTTATATAGTTTGCTAAAACACACACACTCACTCGTGGATTGCAGTTGCTTTAGTGATGATAGTTTAGTCAAAATAATCTATAATTTGTGGAAATAGCCATTAGGTAAAAATGTCCCAAGTGTTAGGTAGGTTTGCATGTAAACAAACACACTCTCAAATGTGGTAAATGTAGTGTAAAGTGTCCGTCACACTGCTGTGGGCTGAGTTATCTAAGCCCATTCACTTCACACTGTAAACAAATACACTACATTCAGCTTCAATACATCAATGCATGCTGAAATACCAGATCAATAACGTGTGTGTGTGTGTGTGTGTGTGTGTGTGTGTGTGTGTGTGTGTGTGTGTGTGTGTGTGTGTGTGTGTGTGTGTGTGTGTGTGTGTGTGTGTGTGTGTGTGTGTGTGTGTGTGTGTGTGTGTGTGTGTGTGTGTAATTATAGATGGCCGTTTCAGGGTTGAAAATGTACCCTATTAATGGATAACTGAAATGTTTTATTCCTTATATTATAGGTGATGTTTTATTTGTTTTAAAATATTGAATGACTCTGTCCTGCATATTCTGTTAATTATTTCTCATAGTCATGAATTATGTTTTGTGTATCTCTGTTCTCAGGTCAGTTCAGCATGTGGACACAATACATCATTTATTAAAGCAGAGTTTCCTTCTGTCCTTAATTCAGGAAATGATATGAGTAAATGAATAACAATAATTTAAATGTGCTCTGTATTTGCTCTCCCTCAAGGAGTTTCTTCTGTTGAACACTAAAGAAGATATTTTGAAGAATGCTGAAAACCTGAAATCATAACAACAAAGCAACAAACTAAAATTACAGGGAGTTATTAAATCACAAAAAATGCACATAAGAAAATGATTCCAAATTATATATTTAAGGGCGTTACGGTGGCGCAGTGGATAGCACAATCACCTCACAGCAAGAAGGTCTCTGGTTTGAGTCCCGGCTGGATCAGTTGGTGTTTCTGTGTGGAGTTTGCATGTTCTCCCCGTGTTGGTGTGGGTTTCCTCCGGGTGCTCCGGTTTCCCCCACAGTCCAAACACATGCGCTATAGGAATGTGTGTGTGTGTGTGTGTGTGTGTGTGTGTGTGTGTGTGTGTGTGTGTGTGTGTGTGTGTGTGTGTGTGTGTGTGTGAGAGAGAGAGAGAAAATGAGTGTGTATGGGTGTTTCCCAGTGATGGGTTGCGGCTGGAAGGGCATCTACTGCATAAAACATATGCTGGATAAGTTGGCGGTTCATTCTGCTAATAAGGGGACTCAGCCGAAAAGAAAATGAATGAATGAATGAATGAATGAATGAATGAATGAATGAATGAATGAATGATATATTTAATGTATATTTAAATCATAAATAAAGACATGTTGGGTTTATTTGGACCATTTTTGTTTGTGTACATGGTATTTCCCATATAATCATTAAATTATACCTACATATACAAAATGTTCTTCAAAGTTTTATTATTTTATTATCATTATCATCATCAATATCAATACAACAACAAAAATAAACAAAGTAAATCGCTAGCGGAATGGTGTCTGCACTAGAGGCGGAAGTGACGCAACTCTCCGTCTATTCGTCCAATCAGAGCTCGCGGCGCAGGATTTCGAACGTCAACGTCTGTGAGTGAAAACAGCGGAGGAGAAGGCGAGAAAACACGGAATAAACCGACATACTGCGGGTGTTTGAGGCGGTGGTGACCGGAGGCAACGATGGTGCAGAAGAAGAGCTTCCAGCAGAGTCTGGAGGACAATAAAGAGAAGATGAAGGAGAAGCGGAACCGGCGGCTGAGCGCGGCGGCTTCGGCCCGGAGATCAGTGCAGCTCCGGGGAGCAGGTCGGTGGAGAGACGCTCGGTCTGGTTGATGCTGAATTAAAGTAACGTTAAAATTAGTAATTTATTCGCACATTCCTTTATAGTTCAACATTGACAGCTTGTTACTCTTGCAACTTTGAGTATTGAGTCTGAAATTGCATGTAAGTTTGACATCAAAACAACAGCAGCACTGAACAATGTAACTTACAGAGTCATTGACTGCTAATGTGAGTCCCTTATTTAGAATTTGCTAACAATACTTAAATGATATTAAAACATTAAGCAGACAGTCCAAATGTGCGAATATATAGTCAATTTTAACGTTACAATTAAAATAAAGTTATGACACACTCCCTGTATTGTTTACCATGGTAACGTTACTTTGAATATTCCCTCTGAAATCACATGTAAATATGACTTTAAAACAACATTAGCACTGTTCAATTGACTGAACAATGTTGTACTTTGAGTTCCCTATTTAGAATTTGTAAACAAAACTTTATGAAATTATACTATTAAGGAGAAATACAAACGTGCGAATATAAAACCAACGTTACCCCATCCCTCACTGTAATATATCAACAGTAATTATGCCAAGTATTATTTATTAAATTACCCATTAAGTACGTTTTATTAACATCAACCCCAACCCTAAATCTGACTCTCAGTAATATAAAAACAGTAATTATTCAGAGTATTATTTACATTATTTATTTAATAACTACCTGTTAAATGTTTTTATTATTATTGTCTACCCTAACTCTCACAGTAATGTGAAAACAGTAGTTACTCAGAGTATTATTTATTAAATTACCCATAAATTATATTTTATTAATATCTACAACTAAACCAACCATCACAATAATGTGAAAACAGTAATTATACAGACTATTATTCATATTATTTATTTAATTATAACCTGTTTACCCAATAAATTGTATATTATTAATGTCTACCCCATGTCTGTGCATTTCTCTTGGTGTTATATAATATTCTGTTTTGGCTTCTCCTCATTTTGGAGAAATGCTGCATCTTTTTTTGTTTTCATCTGTGAGAAGTTTTTGCCAGATAATAAATATGTTCATTAGTTACATCAATAGAATGTAAATCGTGTAATTAAAATAGAGTAACAGTTCACACACAAATGTGAATTCTGTCATCATTTACTCGTTTTACTAGTTTCTTTCTTCTGTTCAACACTAAACGGTATATTCTGAATGTTGAAACTGTGGATGTCAGTGGCTGATTTTCTCCAAAGTTCTTCAGTGTATCTTGTTTTTCATTCAGCAGAAGAAAGGAACTCGAGCAGGTTGATGTGTAGATCTTAATTTTTGCATGAACTGCCCCTTTAACTTTGTGTTGTCGTGTGTATGTCTGCAGCTGCGGTGAAGCCGTTGGTGCTGAAGAGCGTTCAGGCCAACAATAAAGCTCTGGCCGTGGCTCTGCAGGCGGAGCGGGAGAAGGTTCGACAGGCGCAGGGAGTCATTCTGCAGCTGAAGAAGGAGAGACAAACACTGCTGTTCCACCTGCTGATGCTGAAGAGGACACTGAGAGAGAGACCCGCGCTCATCACACCACAGGAGGTTTCTCCTCCTGAAGAGACGAGTCCCCCGAGACCAGCTCAGCCTGTCAGTCCACGGTCAGACAATTTAAAGTGAAGTGTTTTGTTTTGAATGCATGCATTTCTCTTATCACTGATCATCAGTCAATCCCGAGTCGTGGCTTCCAGAAAAAATGGTTCTGATAACATTAATGTTAAGAAGCATATTTCAAGACCAAACCCTACAAAAGAAAAACAAATGAATGAATCTACAAAGATTAGAAGAGGTTTCCCAGCATCAAAACTATAAGAGTTTAACATAGATTTGTTTGTTTACTTTACGTTTGTCCTGTGTAGATTTATTTCCTAATAAAATAATGATTCTTTAATTGCCAATACAAAAAATGTCATTGAGAGCAATAGTGTATATATATATATATATATATTTGTTTATTTATTTATTTATTTTTTATTATTATTCTTAATTTTTTTACAAAACTCTGGTCAGGCACATTTAGATCATGAAATATTTTTCTGACTTTTTGTCTGTGTGTTTTTTTTTTTTTTTTTTTTTTTTTTTGTGTGTGTGTTTCTCTCAGGCCTGTGGATGTGTGTGATGATGTCCAGCAGCTTCCGTCAGCAGAGGCACGTCTCTCTGCAGGTAGTTTCACTTCTCATACCAGGGTGTCCTCGAGGTCTTAAAAAGTAATAAAAGTTGATAAATCAGTGTGGAGAAAAGTAAGGCCCTTAAGAATTATTTAAAAGTCTTAAATGCTATTTTGTAAGGTATTAAATGTTGGTAAGGTATTAAATTGATTATGCAGTGTGTGCTAAAGTTTGCCTGAATTAAATCTGCGAATATCAGGATGCTGTGTAGTTAATTAAATCAATGAAATCCTGCTAGATTTGACATCATGCTGCTTTGTTTACTGCAGAAACAAAAGCAACACCATTATTTCTGCAGTTCTATTAGCGACAACCTGCTGAATTAGCTAGATTTAATAGATTTTTATGCAGTATATGAATAATATTTTATTTTTCGATTACTTTCTATTGTTAATATTTAGTAGATATGCTGCAAGTTAAAATCTCACCAGTGTTTCCGGTTGAAACCTAAAGTGATTTTAAGGTCTTAAAATGTATGGAAAGAGTCTTAAAAAAGGTCTTAAAAGTATTGAATTTCACTCTCTGATGCCTGTATATACTCTGCATACACACATCTGCATTAATGAAAATTATACACAAATTATTTCACAATTATTTAGCAAATTATCACACTAACCAACTTATTATTGTCTGTAGAACAAGCCACTGTTTTGCTCTTTGCTCTTAACTCACTTTAACTTGCCTAATTAACCTAGTTACTGCTTTTAAATGTCATGTATAATCTATGTTATTAATTTATAAAGTTGTTGTATTATTGCTTTTATTTATAATGATCTTTCTGATGTGGCACTGAGTAATCGGTCAGTGTGTGTGTTTCAGATGCTCGATCCGTGTCTTTGCCTCCTACAGTGGGAATGAGGAGGAAACGCTGCTCTGGGATGAAGCGGAGACGCAGCTCTCGCTTTAACTCAAACCCTGAGCAGATGGAGGAGAGTGGAGCCCAGCCCAGTGTAGAGGACCTACATCAACATCAGCAGGCTGAAGTAGGTGCTGCCGGGTTGTTTTCATCCACTCTGGGCTGATTCTGAGTCTTAATTTAGCTACAACTTTCTCTGTTTCAGCATCAATACACATTATGTCGGTGCTTTTTTTGCTCCTTTGACTTTCATTATAATCATATTTTTTGATTGTAAATGTGTGAATGTGTCTTGACAGGAGGCCCGTGTGCAGCCGGTGGAGCCTGACGTCCAGCTCTGCATTGCTGAAGCTCCAGCGCGCAAGAAGAGGAGCGCACAGCCTAAAGCGGAGCGAGGCCGCAAGGCGGATCGGGCCCCGCTGAAGAAGCCCTGGGAGAACCACAGACCCCGAGCCCGATCCAAGAGCAGAGAGCGACCACAGAGCCGAGCAGGAGCCACGCTGACCCCAGTCGACCGCCTCAACTCCTCACTGGGAGGAAACGACACCTTTGATTTCGACTGCGAGGAGGCCGTTCACCTCACACCGTTCAGAGACAAACACAAACACACCGAGACAGAACCAGAACCGCACGCTGCTGCAGCTGATGGGTAAGTTACTGCTGTTCAGTGACCTGCACAATGAACCTAGTGAAGCCTTTCAATGTTAATTTAAGCTGAATACTAGTGTCTTGAAAAATGTCTAGTCAGATAGTATACACTGTGATGATGTATATAGCTATAAGAGATTTAATTAAAACTATTATTGTTTAAAAATGCTGTGAAATCTTTTCTCCATTGAACAGCAAATATTTGAAAAACAATTCATTTCACAGGAGGACGGATTTAGTTTTGAACTGTTTGTGTGTATCATGTATGTTAATTTTGTGTGTGTGTGTATGTATGTATATGTGTGTGTGTATATATATATATATATATATATATATATATATATATATATATATATATATATATATATATATATATATATATATGAAATACAGAAATGAACTAAACTAGATGTGTGTAGAAAGATGGATGGAGATTTATATTTAGTCAAGCCTAAAATTATTCACACCACTAGCAATTCTGATTTAAGATAAAGATAAAGGCTTTAGGGAAATAAATTCCACATGGATCTTATTATATTTTGAGGGAAGCGACTTTCCAATCAAAAAAATCAAAAAAAGTCTTTTTGTCTTGTTTTACGCTTGAGCAACTAAATGAATGCCAATGTCTGTTTAACTGATTGTGTTTTAATGACATTACAGCATCCATGCTGTAAAATAACTGTATAAAATGGAAAAAACTCACAATAACAGGTCACCAGAAGTCTATCAGTATGGGAACTACACTAGCTCGGCATATACCCTATAGGGCAGGGCGATTAATTGAAAGCGACATTCATAATCTGTAATCAAAATTTCCCCAAAACATTTTTTTCGGTTGCTTTCCATACTGCATGTGGAGTCACATGACTGCTCTGTTAAGGCTTTATTTATACATTGACGATGATTGGAAGCTCAACCAGAGATGCCTTGAGACGGCATATTTTCCATTACATTAGTATTATTATTTACATCAAAATATTTGTTTACACTCCCAGTGATGGGTTGCAGCTTTAAGGGCATCCACTGCATAAAACATATTCTAGATAAGTTGACGGTTCATTCTCCTGTGGCGACCCCTGATTAATAAACGAACTAAGCCGAAAGCAATGTTTATATGTTTATAAATATATGTAATATTTGTTTACAGAAGATGCAAGAAATGCACAGTTGAAATATTATTTACAGCATATACAAGAGTTACTTTATTCAGAAGAGATGCTGCTTATTTTCTACTTTTAATATGAAAACACTGAAAATAATTTATTTTGTTTGTGAGAGTGCAGGTTATTTATTTACATTTTGTTTTTAAGTAACTGACTGTTGGTTTTAGGCAGTGTGTGTTTTAATTTCAGTTGTTCAACATTGATGTTTAATAAATAATCATGGATAGTGTGTGTGTTTCCTTCAGTTATTTTAAAATCAATCAATGCACCTTTCAGAAATCCCTCACCGGGCAAACAAAACAATATAATCATTCATTAATTGTAATTGAGTTAAACTGTTCAATTAATCGAGATTTAGATTTTAGACCACGTCTCCCATATATGAGTGCATATATATCTGGTCCATTTGTTTAATTACAGTAGTTAATCACTTCATAACTCATTATACCCAACACTGCCCATCAGGATGGAGAACAGCAGCCCAATGGAGGAGCAGGATGAGGAGAAGGAAGAGGAGGAGGAGACGCCGTACATCCCCAACAGGAGAATCCGGAGAGCCTGCAGTCCTGCAGCCAGACGAGCCCGATCCAAACGCCACTCCAACAACATGCAGACACACAGCACAGGTACACTCAGCATCTGCTCACCCTCAATTATTCGCCCCCTGTTTATTTCCCCCAGTTTCTGTTTAACAGAGAGCAGATTTCTCCAACACATCTCTAATCATAATAGTGTTAATAACTCATCTCTAATAACTGATGTATTTTCTCTTTGTCATGATGACAGGAAATAATATTAGACTAGATATTCTTCAAGACACTTCTATATAATTCTATAATTCTGACCTCAACTGTGTTTGTGCGTGTGTTTATATATATATATATCTTGATATGGCGACAAGGTCTTAAAATATTCTGAAATGGTCTTTAAAAAGGTATTAAAATTAGGATTCCTGCATATGCCTTACTCTTAATCTCAACAGGGAAAACCAGCAGCCCAATGGAGGTTGAGGAAGAGGAGGAAGAGCAGGAGGAAGAGGAGGAGACGCCGTACATCCCCAACAGGAGAATCCGGAGAGCCTGCAGTCCTGCAGCCAGACGAGCCCGATCCAAACGCCGCTCCAACAACATGCAGACACACAGCACAGGTACACTCAGCATCTGCTCACCAACGCTGAGCTTTTGGGTTTATGATGACAGGACTATTCTGCAAAACACTGAATATTTCTTCAGTCTAATAGAGGTGTTTCTGTGTGAGGATATTTCAGGTGTGATTTATTTCATCATTACTGCAGGCTTCAGTGTTCACCATCCTTCAGAAGGCACTATAGCATGATGATTCCATGATCCAGAGCAATAACATTATAAACTACAACCATTTCATGATGCTAACTGCTATTGTAGATAGTAGACAGGGACATTTCTCATTTAACTCCTGTTTAAACAATAATAATGATGATAATATTGATTAATAATATCTGATTCAGTTGGAGAGAATCATCAGCTCTCCTGTCAGATTTTCAGTAGTTTTCACTTCTTTGCCAGGGTTTTGATTTGAATAGTAATACTGTATTGTTTGAGGAGTCTTCCTCTTAAACCTGAACTCTCCTCGTCCTCGTGTGTTGTGTTGCCATGCAGGAAGCTGCTCTGCTGCTGCAGTGATGGAGGAGCAGGACACAGCAGATCTTCTGTTCACGTCTCCAGTCTGTGATGCTGAGGAGAAGAGGAGAGCATCTGACCTGCAGAGCGGCCCACCACAGCTGAGCTCATGTGTGCATCATCTGCCTGTGCATTCATCCACTCATGCGTTTCTATATTCACTCACTCATGCATTCATCCACTCATGCATTCACTCCCTGACTCATTCATCCACTCATGCATTTCTATATTCACTCACTCATGCATTCATCCACTCATGCATTCACTCCCTGACTCATTCATCCACTCATGCATTCATTCACTCATGCATTCATCCAATCATGCATTCACTCCCTGACTCATTCATTCACTCATGCATTTCTATATTCATTCACTCATGCATTCATCCACTCATGCATTCACTCCCTGACTCATTCATCCACTCACGCATTCATTCACTCATGCATTCATCCACTCATGCATTCACTCCCTGACTCATTCATTCACTCATGCATTTCTATATTCATTCACTCAATGCATTCATTCACTCATGCATTCACTCCCTGACTCATTCATCCACTCATGCATTCATTCACTCATGCATTCATCCACTCATGCATTCACTCCCTGACTCATTCATTCACTCATGCATTTTTTTAATTGGCCCACTCATTCATGCACTCTCTCTCTCATGCATTAATTCATTCATTTGTGCATGTAGTCACACTTCTTTTGGTCATGCATTCATTTATTACTGCACTCACTCATACATGCACTCAATCCCTCCCTCATTCATTCATTAAGTGAGTGTGTGTTCTGAGTGTGTAACTGTGTGTCCACAGCTCCAGCAGAGTCTCTGGTGTCCATGATGAGTCCTGCAGAGCCGGAGCTCCTGCTGCTCCAGAGCCCAGTGTTTGAGTTCCAGCAGAACCAGGAGAACCAGCAGCCACAGCCGGCCCGCAGGAGGACAGGTAACACAGCTGCTGTATCATCATCATCTGTGTGTGCTGCACACGTGTTTCTGGTGATTCTGAGCTTCACACACTCTCTCTCTCTCTCACACACACTGGTGTTTGTGCAGGCGGGCTGGTGCTTCGCTCCTTTCTGGGCTTGGCTTTGAGTGATGTGAGTAATGTGGTGTGTCCAGCAGCGCGTCAGACGTCCAGCAGCGCAGGACACACACCACAGAGCTGCAGACGCCAGCGCCGAGCCGCCAGCGCAGTCAACTACAAAGAGCCCTCCATTAACACGTACGTCTCACACACACACACACAGATGAGTTCGAGCATAGCTCACTAACTTTAATGCCAGGAGTGTGTGTTTTTGTGTGGGTTACTTCACTTTTAGAATGCTGATCCTTTACTCATGTCATCCAAGATGTTCATTTCTTTCTCTCTTTAATCATGAAGAAACGTTAATGATGATGATTATTATTAATATTTTGATGAAGAAAATACGCAGGATTTTTCTGCATGATGGTTAAGGTGCAGTCGGTGATCTGCCTAAATGCTAACCGGTCAGCATATTATCTTTCAAACACAATCCCTCCCCTGTTGTCCAAAGCCACGCCTCCTGAAATCACGAACGCGCACCTTAAGGATAACAGAGACCCACTAGATCATGTTGTTCACCATTAAGAAACTTTACAGTACTTTATGATAATACAATTCCCAATCAACAACTGTATAACATCTAGCAGGTGTTCAATTATGTAGCAGCAGAACTCATCATCACTCTCACTCATGAATCTCACACTGTCCTAAAGCCACTACCGCTTGCTCAGTGTTTGGCCGGCGGTGTGCAGGAATCACACTCATTACTGAGCCATTCTAACACGCTGTTTCAGAGTGAATATTCAGAGTAGCGGTGAATACAGGGGGCGTCACATTGATCAAACATGACCCAATATGAATATGAAGGCATCTTGAGCTCAGTAAAGCAGGCTAGGCGTAAGTGCTGTTGTTAAACTGATTATAAATCTACATTATCTGCTGTGAAAGGACCTTATGAAACTGAAAATAGTCGCATGAAGCTTTCACTGGGAGATTTCAGAGGCACTTCTGTGTATATACCCATTCATAACAACCCAATCTACATCAGCTCTGCGTGACTGAAAGAGTTTACCACACAGAACATGACCTGTCTAACAGAAACACTTCCGCCGTGGTGTCCTCTATGGTGTTAACTAGTGTTGATTGAGCATTTGAAGTATTAAAACTTGAAGTATTTGTGTTCACGAGGTCTTCAGGTTTGTTCAAGCATCGTCCAAAGTGTTTGACTCCAAAAAAGCAGAAATCTATTTATTTTCCTTCTGATATTAACAGTGGCGTGCTCAGATCACATGATTGGTTCGTGCCTCAGCGTGTTCGGCCAAGCTCCTCTATCCAGGTGATGTCATGTAATTTGTGACAAACGCAGGAAGGTGATGTGACGCTCTCCACATGTAGTGAAACATGGGGAAATGTGTGTTTGCGTACTCCTGGATCTGTTCTTCATACGTGGATTACTCAGTTCGCTGGATGTGGTTGTTGATGATTTGACATGATCCAGGATCGTTTCGTTATTCAAAGCTGATCCGAGACTTGTTGTCATAGCAACAGTTCTGCTAGCTCAAACCTGTTCAGGAGCAGCTCATTTCATATAAACAGGATTAAATCAGCTCAGTTCAAGCAAAGGTAATACCGAACGTATTTACAGAAAGCTGATATCTTCTTACAGTAGTAGTCTATAGATTATATACACCTAGGAAAATAGTCAAATTATTTTAAAAAAGATTGTACTGTACATACATTAATAATAATTAATAATATTTCATATTAAATAAGGGCAAGGCAGTGGCGCAGTAGGTAGTGCTGTCGCCTCACAGCAAGAAGGTCGCTGGTTCGAACCTCGGCTCAGTTGGTGTTTCTGTGTGGAGTTTGCATGTTCTCCCTGCCTTCGCGTGGGTTTCCTCCAGGTGCTCTGGTTTCCCCCACAGTCCAAACACATGCGGTACAGGTGAATTGGGTAGGCTAAATTGTCCGTAGTGTATGAGTGTGTGTGTGTGAATGTGTGTGTGGATGTTTCCCAGAGATGGGTTGCAGCTGGAAGGGCATCCGCTGCATAAAAAACTTGCTGGATAAGTTGGCGGTTCATTCCGCTGTGGCGACCCCGGATTATTAAAGGGACTAAGCCGACAAGAAAATGAATGAATGAATGAATAATATTAAATAATTAATGTTTATATACATATGTGTTTAATAATACATTTAAATGAAACTTATGCAATCTGCACTCAGAAATAAACGTGCAAAAACGGCGTGGATCTCCACAAAGGGGATCAAAGAGAACATTTATTAATATGGACTCATTAGATACAAATGTGTGCGATTTTTAGGTCCCGACGCAGCTTCTGCATATTTCTATACGATAATGACCTGCACAATATTCCACTGTTTTTTGTTTGTTTGTTGTTCTATAATAATGTGTGCAGTCATGCTCATGTTGAGACGGTTAATATGCCGGAGATTTGATGCTTCGCATAAGTTGCAGACATTCCTTACACTGATTAAGAAACTAAAATAGACCTGGTCTACTACAGTAAAGACAATCTGCTGTAACTGTTAAACCAAATAAATTGCTAGAGACTCTCGACAGATGAAGGTGCAGCGCCTGCAGCCCTCAACACGTGGAGAGAGTTACTGTGTATCATATTGAACAAACCGTTCACCACAAATGTGATGTAATTTTGCTCACATGGATCATTGAATATTAATCAGATGATGTCATTACGCTGCTGTGCCGTCAGCCAATCACTGCATTGCTGATCATGTCTTATTATTTCTAGCTTAGTTTCTTCTGAGCTAATCTGAGTTCTGTTGTTCTCCATTCATTTATTCATCTACAACTGTATGTTCAGGTAAAGGCTTGATGCTGATTAGAACTTGAAGTGTTGATGAAGTCTTAAAATATTCAGAGAAGGTCTTTAAAAAGTCTTCAGAAGGTATTGAAATCACCTTTAGGCATATAGACTGTTTTCTTAAAGAAATGACAAATAAAAATACGTCTCGACAGATCTGCTGGCTCTGGATGCAGGTTTGAGAGGTTAAAACATGGCTCAGTTTAATTTCTCTCATTCCTCCTCTCGGGATTTATTGTTCTGTCAGACTGTTCTTCCTCATCTGGGAAGTCCACTGTATGGAGATAAACTGCTGTTACTGAATGTTCTGATGAGGAGGAGGAAGAGTACATCAGGATATTTCCATTCTGCAAGTGAAGCGATGCTTTAATGAGTCACTTTATTCAAATGATTCATTCAGAACAGATGATTCATTTACATGCTTTACATCGGTGTTGTGTGTCAGAATTATTGATTCTCCTTTTATGCCAGAAATCATTCAAATATTGTGATCATGCTTCATCAGAACATTTACATTAACTTCTGTGAATATAAAATCATTTTATCAGTCATGTTTAATTCTTCAGATCTCCATTTGGACTTTATTAAAGGTGTTTTTTTCTTTTTGCAGCATCGAGTTGCAAAATAACAGTAGCAGAGCTGCGTCTCAGACGAATAGTCTTATTGAATTGTTGTTCTGTGTTCAGGAAGCTGCGGCGCGGTGATAAATTCACAGACACTCGTTTCCTTCGCTCTCCAATCTTCAAGCAGAAATCTTCATCCCGCAGGAGCTCCTTCAAGAAGATGGAGATCTACAACGAGGCCTTCGTCGGCTGCAGATGAAACTTCTCTTCCTTCATCTCTCACTGCACAGCTCATCTTTGCATTACATTTTTAATCCATTTTACCTTGAAGATTTTTAAATAGTAAATAATTAGCGCTGTCAAATGGTCGACTGCATCCACATCAACATTTACAACATTTGGTATATGGTTTTGTGCAGTATAAAATGCTTGTATTTATATATAAATGTAAGTATTTTCTATACAGTGTGTGCATTATACACGTGTGCATAAATACATGCATGTGCAGGTTGTGTAAATGTAGTATGTGAAGAATCCTTTGGCAGCTCTAAATGACTCTAGTGCTTTTATGTCTTATGATTTTAGTTGTGACTATAATAAAGATTGTTTATATCAATGTTTTAACTCGTTACACATGATTGTGTTTAATTGGCTAATTTGTTTTTAATGGAGGTGAGACACTTCAGTAAAGCTGCGATCACACCAGTTTCCAACAGTATCTGGATGCAGCCTTTAAGATGCAAGCTGAGACTGCATCACTCAGCGATGCAATGTCAGACACAATGCACTCAAATGGAGCGAGTGACGTCACTGTGACAGGTAGGGGTGGGGTTAGGTGAGCGCATTAAAAAGCATTGGATGCAGCCCAGATTGCACTGCACCAGGTCTGCAGCCAGACCCCTCTCAGAGTTTGAGCATGTGAAATTCTGTCGTAAGGCGCTGCAAAATGGGGCGAGATTAAAAAAGATGATTAGACATTTAAAGCGCAAGTGATTGCTCCATGTATTAAATTTCTGTCCAGAGATTTCATATTTTGTTCCTAAATTGGTCTAAAAAGTGTAGTGATGCGATTTAGCAGGTCAGAGTTCACCAAGCTTGAACTTTGCATCGCAGCAACCTGCGAAACTTAACGCATGAACCTGCGTTTGCGGTCCGATGCATTCGCGAGTGTATAAATGGAAGTCTACGGGAGGAAAAGCCCAGTGTGAAGCAGCTAAAAGCCCTTTTTCCAGGTAACTTTTATAATGAACATGACTGCAGAGGAGCTCTGTTCTGATGTCCACATCTAATTCAATGTGCAAGAGATTGTTATGTGCTCTGAAAACATGTTAAATACTTTAATTGTTGTTTTTTTTTTTTCCATAAATACATGTTCATCTGAAGTGAACCACTCTTAAAACCAATAGCTATTAAAATAAGTGATCATTGCATAAGAAACTTCTTGAACCATTTACATTAGAGGTGCAATGATCTGACACTTTGATGAAAATGCGAAACCCTGCAGGACGAGGAAGTGACGATCATATTTGGATAAACCATGCCAACAGCAGACTGCAAAACAAACAGATGTGTGTCTGGCTACAATTCAACATGCTAAAACATTGAGATCAAGACTGGTTAAAGAAAGCTGTATTATTAAATGAAGGTTGCTTCTTGCACGCACATTTTACAGTTACAGCCTTTTACAGTTAACAGGTCATGCAAAATAAACAGATTTTACCAAAATGCAGACCAGTTTCTGTGTGTTTTATAGATTTGGAGAGTGAAATGGTTTTGTTTCCATCAAAATATAGATTTCTTACACATTTGTATGTTTTGTAACCGGAAGAGTAAATCAGTCTAATATATAAAAGGATGATATAGTAATGTGTGCACGTATCATTTGAATTCAAGTCTTTTCTGTTCTTTTTTCAGAAGAAATAATCCTAAAGTAAAAGCTCAGAACCAGTAAACACACCATAAACTAACATCTATAAAGTAAAGGTTCCACACTGAAGAAAGATCAGAGCAATGATCTGAAAATACACTGAGTTTAAGAGACGAGCAGAGTCTGCTTTACAGTTAAACTGGTTTATTGAGAGTTTATGCTTTCTTCTGAGCCGCAGCTTTCTGGAGCTTCTTCATCTCGTGTCTGATGATCTTATTCCTCTGCAGAGACAAACACAAACACAGCGTTAATCTTTTACTCAAAGCAGCATTAGTTTACAGTCGGGACATGTCCAGAACACCATATAGAGTTCAAGTCCTGACACTAAACACCAAGGATTCATTTATATATGTTAGTCTAATATATTCAACATCAGTGATGTGTGTTCACTGCATTTATTTACACTCCATTCACCACAATATAACTCCTCTATACTGCATGAAAAACATATAAAATCACTGAAGTCAAACATGTCCGGACAACTTAAACACCCAAATAATGCATCTTCAAAAGTGTTAAACGTAGATGAACAGTAAGACGACTCGAGCGATCAGACACAGGGTTCACAGCCACACTAACACAAGTACATGAGCCCAGAAATAACCTGTTCTCTAAAAGTCATGCAAAAGTATATTCAGACTAAAACTATTTTAATATTATGCAAAGCGCAGCAGTGTGTGTCCATGAAAGGTCATGCAAACTCTTGAGGGACAGTCGGAGAGTTCGTCTCCACACTACATCAAATCTGATGCTATCTGTAGATTATTCACTAGTGTAGTGAAATAAAACAACTCAACCAACAGTGATTTCAGGATTCATTAAAGAGAGTAAACGGCAGTAATTCAGTGCTGGCCTGTTTTATTTCTACATTTCAGATCAGATTAACTGAATGAGCATCATTTACTGTCCTCTACATCATTATTCAGATCCTCAATATAAACACACAGAAGCCCAACACTCAATCACTGACGCTACTGCCTAATTAGCAGGACATTGATGAAGCGAGTGGTTTATATAACGATAATCACTTTTCAAAGCTTAAACACGTCATTAGAACTCAAGAGTTGAAGGATTTCAGCACTGATGATCATGTTAGAGATGGAGAGAGAACGAGAGCTGAAAACACTGCACATGCTGAAAATCTTCATGCTATGACAAACTGAAGAGAAATAAAACCACACTTCATTAATAAATTGAAAAATACATGCTAACACTTTATTCTGATGGTGTATTGGAGTATTAGCAGACTGTCTGATCGATATCTGCTGATCTGCTCCTTCAACACACATTTACTGACTAGAAGACACTCTGCAAGTACCCGTCAACTAACCCTAACCCTAACAGTCGACTGATGATCTGATGAGAGTTAGCTGGCATGAAGATGCAGTGTAATCTCAATTCAACAAACAGACACTGCTGTTCACACTGCTGTACTTTATTTCAGTCCTCACACACACTCACTCACTCACTCACTCACACACACACACACACACACACACTCTTACACACACTCACCATTTTCTTGGCCTTCGACACCTTGTAGCGATCAAAGTCAGACATTGCAGCTCTCTGACGGAAGAAAAGAGATAATTAAGTTTAATAACAGTTGTGTATTTTAATAATGCAGCAGTGAACATCAACTATGATTAATAAATGATGACATTTTATTAACTTTATTGTGTGAGCATGTAATATTTCCACTAATAAAAATACAAACACCACTAATATAAGTTAATAAAGTTATTATTATTTTATTACTTTCAATACTGTCTGATATTGTAATCAATGTAGATGAAGAGAGCAGACGTGCGCCAGGACAAAGATAAGTGTTTGAAATGGAGAGTTAGGGTGTGATCACAGCGAACGCTCTTCACATTGTGAAAACATGAGGAGCAACACACTATGCATTATACAGAGAAACATTCACAATATTATAGCAGTGAACAGGTCAGGCTGTATCATTGACTTCAGCTCTGAACACTGGACCGACACTCTCTGTTCAGCAGAACGTCTCAGTCACACACAGTCTACAGAGATTACACTTCATGCACCAGCTCAATCACTCATCCTTTCATTAATGTGAGGATTAAACAATGTTTAGCGGAGAGAAAACTCTGAAGATCTGCAATCTGAGGCGTACAGAACCAGCGGAATATTATATCTAAATATGAAATGTCTAAACACTGACAAAACACTCTTCAAAAGGAGAGTTTAATGTTAAAATACCTACAAAATATCATAACCTGCTGCTTCTGGCCGAAAACAAAACACTTTTATATACACATGGAATAATGTGTGTCTGCTGCCAAATACAGCCAAAATAAGGTGTGTGTGTGTGTGTGTGTGTGTGTTCCAGGTCACATATACTGTTCCTCACTCCATAAAGAGCTCAAATAATGCAGAGAAAAATCGCATCATTAAACACACACGCGCACACACACACACACACACACACACACACACACACACGGGGCATTTACAGTAAAAGTGTGTGTTTTACATATAGGATGTCGTCACAATACTGCAGCTAAAACACTCTGAAAAACACCATCAGCTGCTTTACATGTTCCATTTCCTGTGCGTGTGAATCTGCATGTGTGTGTGTGTGAGAGAAAATCTGCATAGGTTTGTGTGAGAATCTGCTCATGTAGGTGTGTGTGTGTGTGTGTGTGAATCTGCTCATGTAGGTGTGTGTGTGTGTGTGTGAGAATCTGCTCATGTAGGTGTGTGTGTGTGTGTGTGTGTGTGAATCTGCTCATGTAGGTGTGTGTGTGTGTGTGAATCTGCTCATGTAGGTGTGTGTGTGTGTGTGTGAATCTGCTCATGTAAGTGTGTGTGTTTACCTTCTTCCTGGCCTCGATCTTCTTGGCCCAGCTGCTCTCCTCCCACTTCTTGCTGATCTCAGCCTTTTCCCAGGCGCGTCGCACGTACTTCTGACGGGCACTGAACACACACACACACACACAGATAATCAAATTTCACATATTTGACATTAGTGGAGGCTTGTCTGAAGAGAGATCCTGAAGAGTGCATGCTGAAGAGCTGAATGGTGTAGAGCAGGGGTGTCTAAACTCAGTCCTGGAGGGCCGGTGTCCTGCAGAGTTTACTATCAACCCCAATCAGACACACCTGGGCTAGCTAATACAGCTCTTACTAGGCTTTCTAGAAACATCCGTGCAGGTGTGTTGAGGCAAGCTGGAGCTGCAGGACACCGGCCCTCCAGGACTGAGTTTGGACATCCCTGATAAGACAGAAGATAAAGCAGCTCTTCACGGAGGACACACATCAGCTCTGTACATCACCCACACCTCAACATACACAAATAACCTCAAATCATGTCTGAAATTAAAGAAAGAACACTGATCTCCAGTGAAGCAGGATAGATTGTGACCTGTGAGGGACTTTAATGACGTAATCTGTGAGCTGCAGACACTTGAAGGGCAGCGCCTGACGCTTCACTCCAGTGCACGGTCCGTCTACCAGAGCCTGAAACACACAACACACACATTATTCTTCATATTCACCATCATCATCATCATAATCATAATCATCATTATTATTATTAATAATATTACTACACAACTGAAGACGGGCTTTATTGGAGAACACACTTTCTAATTTGAGCTGATCGATGTCAACGCATGTGTGTTAGAAAGCATAAGATTATTTATGTCTTATTTTCATGCACTAGATTGAATAAATGCATTTTTATGATCTATTAACTACTTAAATATAAATATTAAGAGACAAAAAACAGTAGTAGACACTTGTAGTAATGATTAATAAGTAGCAGGATTGTTTAACAGTGACGATACAGTATAATATTGCCACATGAAACTAAAATCAAGAAGAAAACAACATTTACAATGCAGATCCTATTAGTTTCTCTTATTTGATAAATAAAGCAAGTCATATAATAAAGACTAAGATAAATATAAAAATATAAATAAATAAAATTCACAAAATATATTCAAAGTTAAACATGATTTTTCAGTTTAATGTTTGATAAATGATTTAAGATTCTCCCTGGTGGTGCCTTTAAAAATGTCCAGAAGTACTCTCCTTATAAATGTTCCCTAATTGTATTCAAACTTCCACATTCCAGCAGAATATGTTTGACAGTAAGAGCAGCCTGGCAGGAATTACATGTAGGTGGGTCTTCATTATTGAGTAGATACCAATAAGTCAACCTAGAATGCTCAATTCCACATCTAGTATAGACAGTCTGATCATGTCTGCTCTCGAAATTATAATATACCAAGTGTCATTTATTTTCAGGCCAATTTCCTGCAATAAATAAAAACAGGATTTATATATTTATGTATGGTAACGCTTTATAACAAGGTTACGATAGTAAATATATTTACTAACATGAACAGTATTATATACAGTATTTCTTCATGTTAATTAATGAAAATACAGTCCTTCATTGTTAGTTCATGTTAACTCTGAGTGCATTGTGATCATACATATATAGTGCATAGTGTTACTGATGTGAACAGACATGCATTAGTGCCAATAACACATTAGTAAATGTTGAACTAAGATTGTAGGAGTATAATCAGTAAACGCATTAACAAAAATGAAAGCGTATTGTAAAGTGACCACATACATTTTCTTAAGTAAATAAACCCAACAATAGACTAAAAGACCTGTGCAAATATGCAAATTTCTGCTCTCACAAACCCTGAGGCTCTAGTTAAGGCGAGGAGAGTTTATGTCTATAGCACATTTCACACACAGTGGCAATTCAAAGTGCTTCACATAAACAAGAAAAATAAAATCAAATAATAAAAATTATTAAAAAAACAGATCAAATGTGATGTAAAAGAACGAAAAAGAAGATAAGAACAGAAGTACGAGTTAGTGACGTGAGTATCATATACAGTGCATTAGGGTCAGTCTGTGCTGGACTCACCCTGTTCTGGTCGATCACGTCCACGATGGCCACCAGTTTCCCCTCATGAGGACCGAAAGCGATGAAGGCCACGCGGCCGATCTCCACGAAACGCTTGAACACCTGAAACATACCGCACATGCGTTAGAGAGATCACACATGCATTATGGGATATGTCACGCTCAATCAGAAATCATCAATTCTGTGCAGATAGAAATAGGCATCTGGTGAAACAGTATTCATATAATATTACAGAGAAACGTTCGCACAATAATAGATTACTGCAATGTCAGATTTCTCCAACATCCTGCAGCCCTGCTTACAATCAGCAAAACATGGAGTCTTTAAAAGGTGTTAAATGGTATTGCAATAAACTTGTAACTTTTAATTAAACAACATTCACATTTATACAGTAATGTAAAGTGGTTATTCCGCTTTCGGTGAGTGTACATACATACTGACAATCTAAAAATCTGAAGGTTAAATTAGAAATAAGAGAAAATCAACTTAAGAATCATCTAACTTAAGCTCCACATTACAAATAAACATACAGTGGATTTACTTACAGTAGGAAATGTACTAAATATCTTGATAAAAACAATATTTAATAGATCTGTCACTAGTATTGGAGGGGGGGGGGGGGTGCTTTAGTGCCACTCACAGCAGTAAGAGTTGTTAAATCAGGAGTATTACCGAGCAGACATGGAGCTTGTGGACAGTGGGAAACTTACATGATCAGAATATTTTTTGCATAAACGAATTTTTCATATCCAGTGCATTTCTGGCGATTCCAAAAGTCACTTATATGCCATAGTTGTTATATTTATTGGAAAAGCCGACTATTTTCCCGTCAGTGGCGATATTCCTCAATATAGTGAAGGGTGTTCAGGCGAGTGTATCAGCGAGCATTAGCAGTCACATTAATAACACATTATTATGAGAATATCTTCATTCTCTTGACACTAGCAGACGCATTTATCAGATCTGAGCTGGTCAGACATGTTGAAGAGTGTTAGCATGCCGTCTGTCGGAGATCTGCTAACGGCTAATGCTAAATATTAAGTTCGGATCAGAATAATAGCCGCATATCTCACACGCGGTGTCTGCTCTTCGCTCTTGACCTGCAGTGTGGTGTAAATCTACAGCTTGTTGTTTAGTGTGTGTTCTGTGTGTGTGAGGCCTGTGTTCCCTCATCCACCACGTTGTTCAGACTCGGACGCTTAATTCTCCTCGATCGCGCTAAACGCGTCTTCAACACTCCACAAACAGCACACCTCTCCTCATTAACGCATTAAAACACCCTCCACGCGCTTTTTTCCATTGTAAACTCTTTACAAACATCATATTTGTCTAAACTTTGGTCTCTGCGTCGCCGAGTTCACTCACCATGATGGCAGACCGGGGTAGAAAAAGAACGAGGGCACTTCCGCTCTGGAGTGAAGAGCCTTCCGTTTCAGCGCTGCGCATGCGCGACCATCATACACTTAATAAAGCAGCGGTTTATTATACAGAACATATATATCGTGCTTATACTGTCATGACTTACAATTGCTTTTTATTTTTGTATTATTGCAAAGAATAACCCCAAGCGAATGCCCGAACAGAGCCAGAGACTGAGATCACGTGATCATTTGAATCAGTTTAAAACTGTGAAAGCAAAATAAAGTGCCACACACACGTTTTAAGGTTTTTTTGGCATTTATGTAATCAGATGTAGCGATTAGATATATGATTGATATAAAAACAGTATAATTAACATGTCTCCTTTTACTCGTTTCGATAGTTTACATGATCGATATTACATGTGTGTGTATCTATAAATAGTTTATGATTTGAAATGAAATCAGAAATTGCATCACTAATAACTCACAAATTACCCAGTGAACAGATTTTACGAAAATATATACTATTAAATTGTATACTACACCAGTTTACCGTAGTGAAAACTGAAGTATACTACAGTAGAGCCCTATGATTAATATCACAGTGTGCTGGCGCGTTCAGTAACACTACAGT